TTTAATACTTTTCTCTTTCCTGTTTTCCATTTGAAGCTCTCAGTGTGTTTTTATTTCATAGAAGATGCTACAAAGGGGAAACCGTGTCTGAGAACAAAGAGCAGTTCAGACCACTGTAAGTTACTAAGTTCCAGCTCTGGGCTGTTCCCATTCTGTGGGACAGAGAAATCTGCTCGCTCCTTCCATCTCAGGACCTGCAGGCAGAGGCAACCTGGGATCTCTAGAACACGATTCCTGTCCTACTGTTATGCCCGAAAGAGTTTAAGAATGGCCTCACCTTAAGCACACACTGTGATCTGGCAACGTCCCAACTCCTTAACCACAAGTGTGGTTATAGAATACTAGTTTTACCAGGAAAGAAAAGGCACCATCAAAGTCTTGGAAGGTGGAAAATTTGACAATTTAACTCTTAGAGTCTTTCCAACCTCCTTTGTCTATTTAAGTAGCACTTTTTATTAGCCTATCCTACGGAGATCAATATGGTGTCTCAATATTTAACAGACTGACTATTTGTGGACTTTCTATTTTCTTTAGATGTCAGGGTTTTTCATGCACCTACTCTCTCTTCCCACTTTTGTCTACGATTCATCCCTCTTATCCCTGGAAAGCTGAAAAATACCAGACACAGTAAGTTCCCAATTAGAATTGGTGCTCTACCCAAAATGAACAATATCCAACACAGAACGGCAAAGTCAAAAGCATATGGTGTTTTTCAAGCAAATAAAAAACCTCCACTGTAAGTGTTCCAGCAGCATTACATTTTAGAAACAGAGTTACTTCTAGAGCAACTCCAAACTCAGAACCCCAGCACATACTGAGTCTGAAATGTGCAGTGGAGTTAAATACACGCTTAAATGCTTCAGGAACTGGAACCCATCAGGAGTTTTTCTGCTGTTACCAAATACGCCCACACTTATAACTGATATGGCTGCAAAGACTCAATTTCTCTAGAAGCACAGACCTTTTAGATTGGTAGTTATTTCATTTACACAGTGCGGCCTGGTCCTGCAATACTTAACCATGCTCTACCTAACACACTAATCTAACATCAAAAAATGAATGATATTTCAGAAGTACAACCTCAATAATCCTTTTCCAGCTTAGCTGTCAGATTCCATAAAGCACCCTTCCGTCTCCAAGCAGCATGAGGCTGTTCCAAAGCAAACAAAAGGGCAGTGTGGCTCCTCAGGAGTGCGCGCTGTGCTGGGACTGCTCTGAGGGGCTGAGGGGCCGCTCGGGGCCTGCCGGGCCCGGGGACAGAGAGAGACCCCTCAGCTCCCAGGGGGGGAAGGACACCGAGCCTGGCTGTGTGTGCCTCGGGGGGACACCAAGAGTATCCCATTCCCTGTTCTCTCACACACCTCTCCCCAGGTGTGTGGGAACGGACGGGAGTTGCCGCAGACCCACCCACTGTGGGGCTCAGTCCCACGCTGCCCTCACACTCACGGGTCCCAGCCCTTCCCAAAGCAAGCTGCGACTCCTCGTTTGCAGCAAGAGCTGAACCAAATGTAAAATGTTGCACACGGAGGCTTGGCCAAATCAAAACCGCTCTATTGATTACCTCCAGTTCTACCAGTCAGTTATCAAGTTTAATGACTTTCAATTCAATCTGACCACTCGCACAGATGACCCCTAAGTTAAGCCACAGAGCGAAAATGATTGAATGTGTGAGAAACACTTCCATACTTCTTCCCGATTCCTATCTATTACTGTCAGAATCAGATATAAGAAGAAACTCCACCAGAAAAGTTTTTCTCATGAGGCTGCCAGTTGATTCTGCAGACCTGGCTAACCAACAGACTCCTGTGCATTTCTCCAAGCAGATCCTCCTAATCTCTCTGTACAGGATATGAGAATAAAATTAGAGAAGTGGCAGGGGCTGCAACTACAGTAACACAAATTTCACAGATCTGTATGTGCTTTGTGAGCAGCGAAGGGCTTATTTTCATCATTTAGGTAGAAATTTTAAGATATTGAATCTTGAGATGGATTATAATTTTGCCAACCGAAATTTCACCAAAAGAGACTTGGCAATCAATTCCACCACTTATAATCCGTAAGTGATGCCTTGGTTGCAGCATAGTACAGAGGATGCAGTTACCTGAAAACGTTCTTTCAGCTTCAGGGATGAGAGCCAAGTTTTAACATTTTCAGAAAACTGCTGTATTGTTTAGATTGAAGGTGAAAATTCTGCCTCCTGTCTTTATTTTAAGCAATGCAGCAAATTTTTTAAACTGCTGAAAACTGCCTTGCATTACCAAAATTGAAAGCATGCCGATGTGATTTTAGCTAGGTGGGATTACCATCATGGAGCGAAGTCTCCACATACTGTTGGAGTTTCAGGGTTGTCCTAACTGTTGTTTCTTTGTGTTATGAAGTGCAGGGGGAGAAAAATCAGGCCCCTCTGAGGTTTGGGATTTAATCCATCTTCATATCATACTAATACTGATTTTCCTGTGGCTTAAATCAACTTTCCTACTATCCCCAAGAGGCTACTAGGATGCGTCCTGTGAGCCTCCTCCTTTCTCCTAGCACAGCTCTGAGTGATGATCTCATTCTCCACTCATGTATCTTCTCATTCCATCTGTAGGCCAATAACTCATAAATCTGTCCCTTCTTTCATGGCTTGTCTCATTTCATCTCATCGCGTCTCATGTCTCTCCTTGGGTGTTTTGTTGTCAGTTATGAGTCACTACAACTCAGACTTAATTCACATCTGAAACCCTCTTCCCTCTCCACATTACTGTTCAATATACGCAACTTAGGTCCCATGAATGCCCTGCCCTGTCTCCTGAAAAAAGAAAAAGAAGAAAAAACAAAAAAAACGGGAAAAAAAACCCCAGTTCATATTTTTGAACATTATCAAGGAAACTAAACTTACAGAACACAAGTTCAGGAACTTCTAAAGTGAAGGCTGTCATTAATTTTTTAAATTCCTTTTCAGTGTCTTCATTGCACTTGGATTTTACAGCTGACACTCAAATAACCACCACTGTTCATTTTGCATCAGGAACTGCTCACACCTGGGCTGTGTAATAGGTGCAAAGCTGTGGTTTCGAAACAAAGGCATTCAGACTTCACCATCAACTTAACCAGACATCCCAGTCACCACTCAGGGCAGAATCAATGTTCAAATCAAGGAACCAACACTCCTGCACTTTCTGGAGCCATTGCCTTGGTTACCAGACCCAGTAACCATCACATTCTCTATTAGGTTTTTGATACTAATTCTTCCTATGCTCAATGCAGACCGTTTTGGAATACAAGGACCATGATTCTGAGAGTTTTGCAAATTTTTTTTAATTAGGAAAAGTTCCTTTTAAAATGCCATCATCTTCTAGAAATACTAGCTGTGATAATATACTGATTTCAAGTTTTTCAAGTCCCAAAGTTAAACAAAATTTGTGAAATGGAATTACTCTATGAAAACCAAGCCAAATTAAAATCTGCATCTCAAATACAGTAACACTTCTAAGCAACTTCGTAAATTACAACTGTAATTTATTTAGAAAATAGTGTATCAGGGTAGTATTAGAAACATGAAAGGTTTGCAAGGAAAAAAACCTTCTTTTCTAAAATAGCTTGTTACTCACAGTTACTCAAACCACATATAGCCTGAAATTTCTAAGAGGAAAATTTGACTTTTAGAGTTTTCTTATTTTGAGGACTGATCCCAACCTGAAATTCAAAGCAAAGTCTATCTTCCCCATAACAATGAGCTTTTAGAACATTAAGTAAGGTCAAGTAACTCGTATCTAAAATACAGGATGTTTGTTTGACCACCACCTTTGTGTACAGAATTAGTCCATAATTTCAGTTTATAGAATGTTCTCAGGCACTATTCTTTCTATCTATTGTCAATAAAATTCACACAAGGCTCATTTCTCCTCTCCTTGAGTGTTAACTCTTCTGAAGGAACTACATAAGTAGAAAACCACTTCTTAATCTGGAGTGTACTTATTTTCAAAAGGCTTGGAAGTGTAAATTCTTTAGATACAATTAATCTTCTTACAGGAAAACAGTATCACTTGAAGTTGAACAGAAACTCGTCCTAAATTTACATTAGGAGGTTCTGACAGCAATTTCCTGTTCTTCCAAAGAACACTGTAGCTCCAAAGTGAGACTGAGGATGTTTCTGAAGGCCAACAATCTGACCCAAGATTCAAAAACACTTAGAAGGAAAACAAGAATTTTCACCACTGACTTTACTTTTGGAATATTACTGTGAGCAACTACTTGCACTGGAGGTCCAATGCTGGGGAAAAAAAAAAAAAAAAAAAAAAAGCCAGTGAAGACAAAACACTGAAAGGAAAAGAACTAATAATGCTACGTCATCATTTGCTGGTCCCACATGTTACATCTGCATTATGTGCAGCAAAACCTGGCGCTCTGGGATTTAATACCAATTTTGTATATGGCTTATCTGAGGTTCACTCAGATGAAGCAAACTGCATGAAGTCACGGAAGCACTTCGGTAGCAGAATCTGAAAGAGTACATCAACACTATCTATGAGCACACTGCCAAAACCACAGGAATGCACATATAATAAAATATCAACTTGAATAAATATCTGGAAGTTGATATACTGTGCAGTTTAGGAATTAAAATAATATTCAGAGTGACTTTGCTGTTTACTCATATTTGCTTTTCAGCCAGTCACATATGGTGTAACATTTAAGGAGAGCGATTTTTCACATCAGAGACATAGCTGTGAAATATAAACCCTTAGGAAGTACCTTTTGTGGCTTTGTTTAAAATACCTAACTTATGGAACAACAGTTTGCAGTGTTAATTGCAACAGTTTAATCCTTGCAATGAGATAACATAAGATTGCAACGACTGTCCCAGTAAAAGTTTTTCTCTGCCCCGTGCTACTGACTGAGGCACTCTGCAAGCACAACTCTCACCTTTATGCTCCTCAGCAGCCCACTTGCTTCTCCAGTTGATCAGCTGCAAGGGGACCAAGCTGTGTACAGCCAACCTCCACTTCTATATCGTCATATAGACATGTATGGAATCACTTGCTGCTGCTAAGTTGTCCCTTTGCACATCCACAGCAAGTCTGTCACCATCCGCTCACGAGAAGTACGGAAAGGGAATTATCCCACAAGTGTTCTCCTTCCTCCAGAGACACAGAACACAGGCTTAGCAGGCCTTCCTACGTTTTCCTGTATGCACTCCTAAACCAAAAATCTATTTCTCTATAATCTATTGTTCTTGCTGTCCAACTAGAAAGTCTTTGGCACTGGGAAGAACTGTAAATGCCTGGTCTTTCCTCAGCTGTATACAGGACGTACACACAACTTAAAGCTCTTGAAAATTCTTGAGGCCTGGCAAATAGTACATGGGATGTCCTGGCATCCCTGGGAACTAAAATGCCCTCACTGTAAGCCTAACAGAGGATCTAATTCTTGAGGTCACTGGGAGTTTTGTAGTGCCTTAGCTCATCAGCAGAAGAGAAACTGTTCCCTTTGCTCCAGTGCGTGTCCACCACTCCTCAGATGGCCATCGGTGCTCTGGGGAGTAGCACATGGGATGGAACATTCAGCAGCACCAACGTGTGTTGAACTTGGAGCTACAACTCTGCCACAATACCTTTTCAAACCTGGCTCCCTCTTTAAGTTGCAGGGGGCATTCTAAATAACTTTCAACCTTCACCTGATTTCTCATTTATTTTCAGAATTTTCTCATCACTCTGTGTGACTTAACAAGACCATTTTCCTTGCAGTGCAGGAACCACAGGGCACACCACATGTGCACCAACTGCTGGTGTAGGATATGAAAGTGCAAATACCTCAATACCTTGCAGATTAGTCTCCTATGACTCCTCCTTGTGTGTTTTGAGTTCGTTTTGCCAGATTACTACTTCACCTTTTTTAAGAGCAGTCTGAGACAGATGTGCTGCAACAGCAGAAGAAAAAGCTATCTGAGTGTGAATTTAGTCAGAAAACACAGAATAAACACAGCAAAAGTCAAAACATCATAAAATAAACATAGAACTCTTACCCCCTACAGTCTGTTTTACTGATAAATGTGACATACCACACAGAGCAGATGAACAAGCAACAGCAAATAAACCATGTCATTTCACAGGAAAGGATGGAAAATATTTGCACTGTTCCTTTAAGCAGTGGTTTTGAACTTTCTGACCTGAACTGCCCTCAAGACTATTGGCAGTGCTCCCAGCTTTCCTTCTTTGCCAACCCCTTTCCTCCTCCCCTTCTTCAGCTGAACCAGAAGAGCACATTAGCTCCAGTACATCTCCTTTAGGATATACACACACCTCACCCAGAGCGTACACCTTATAGGACAGCTACACGCCAAACCTTATGAAAACTTTCCCTCTCTTGATTACTCAGGAACTGAGAACAAACCATTTGTAGTTCACCAAAGCCAAAGCACCTGTCTCATAAACTGGTAAATGCTTGCTTTGAGTAGAGTGATGCTGTGCCAGCACATACAAGCAGAGAATTTGGGGAAATATGTGTGAAATATCTTTAAATTCATCAGAATAAACACCAGAGAATCATTTTCTCTCCAGGTCAGCAAGAAAATGTGTGTTCTACCTTTGTGGAAGAGTCAGTTCACGGACATTAACGTGGAGGTAAATCAACATAAGTGCACAAATATTCCAACTTCACACAGATCTGGAGAGAACATAAACACTACAGAATGTCCAAAGTGTACTTTAGTTCTTCAGTATTGATCCTTCACACCATGAACAAGGAAATTCAGTGCCAGGAACAGGAGACCAACATGCTCATCCCCAGTTTCAAATGCTTCTGTTTGGTAACTTTCACCTTTTTGCTAACATCAGGCTCTACACATTCATTTCAAACAGGTTATAAAATGCATCTACTGTGCATGTAAAGTACTTTCCATAAAGGTATTCTTTAATTAAGTAGTGCTGAGCTTGGGTCTCTTATGAATATTGATGCAAGCCTTACATTTTAAAAACTCAGGGAAATGTGATTTTAGAAGATGCAATCTTCCATAACAGCAATTTCTGAAGATTTTGGGTCCCTCTGAAGATTGCTGAAGCTGATCACTCAAAATCACTAATCATTTTTCAATCTTAAGGCAAGGTATACTGTGAAAAGTGATGGAGTGGCCACTATTTGGAAGATACAGGATGATTTAAACATCAGTAACATCCCATGGAGTTCAAAACCATGTCCTTTGCTGGTAGCCAAATTCTTCCAGTAGCAGCAAGAATACAATCTCCCTAAAGTAAACTGTAGAGTAGAAAATGATAGATAAAGTAAACTCTGTGCACTGAGTAACTGCAGGGAGTCTAAAGCTGAGGATCTAATAATTAGTCTTATCTCTATCAAGGTGCAACACGAATAAGCTGAGAAGTGCAAGAATGCCTCACAAGGCCCCAGGGCTCTTCACAGATACAGAGAAGCCTCATTGTTCTGGAGAATTTTAAGCCTGATCTCATGTGGAGAGAACATGAGACATTTCTTTTTCCTGCCATGCTGCTGATGTGGGTGTCTGGAAGGTACATTTCTCCACACACTTCCCTTCACACAAGCCCCAGTGATGCCACAGGTTCACTCTTGGGTTCATTTTTACAGGGCTGGCACAGGCACAAGGAGCAGCAAGTGCACAGAGAACAGGGGCAGCCAAACTCCAGCTGCCTCGTGGCAGGGAAACCCTAGGGAAAACCCACTTTAAAGAGAGAGATGTTTTCCTTGGGGTTCTTCCATTTCAACCTCTGCTTTGCACAAGACATATTTAGGATGCTTTAGTTCACTGACACAAATATTTGGACTTTGAAATTTCCTGGTAATTATTATTACACATCCAAACAGTAGCTGGACACTTCACCTTCCGAACTGAAGGAAACACCCCAGACAAGGTGCTCCCTCCTTCCCTGTGCTCTAATACACACTCCAGCAAAACAGTAGCAGGTCTGAGTGCAGTCACACACTTCTTTCTCTGCACAAAGTGTGAGTGCCTGAGTATCAGCTTTACAGGACGCTTCCTCCAAATTCAAAGCAGTTTCTCTCTGAATTGTGCAAATGGTACGTCACGAAATTCATTCATTTTACATTTGCTTGGTACCATGAAGTCACAGCTTTCTTCTGCTCTGACAGAAACTGCATCACAGGTCTTCTGCAAATTCCCACTGAAATCTTGTCACTGGCTTCAAGGAGAGCTGGAACGGCTTTTGTGTTATTTTAAAGTGTGGCAAACAATATCCTTTTCCTTGGGCAGCATAAAATACTGCACTTGGCATACAAAAAAACTAAGAAAATGGACCCCAAACTTCTCTTTTTAATGCTGTAGCCCTTTCAATGCCTGTAGCCTTCCAGGCAGCTGCAATTCTTTAACAGAGCAGTAGTGAAAGAGAAACTGGAAAAACACAGCAACTGAAATATGAGCAAATGACCTATCTGCACCATGGATCTGCAGCAGGCACACCTCTACTCAGGGTTACAAATTGTGAGCACTTGGCACTTTATCACAGAGTTAAAACATGTTGCCCATAGTTGGATCAAGCGAGTGGTTGTGCCACATGATTTTTTATCAAGTTTTCTAATGCTCTCACAAGGTCCAAACCCTTCCTTTTGCAGTTTCTGATAGACAAAATGGAAAAAGGATCAGAGGGGAAGTAAATGGAAGTTTGGGTTACCTTAGCTCCTCCTTTCTCAAGCAGAAGACAAATTTATGGTTCTTACTTCATGATTAAGTTTTATTACCTGGGATATGGTTGAGGCTTTCAAGGCTGACTTAATTCACCTCGACGTCAACTGACAAAGCAAAATCCAACCTTGATTCACATAGCCTGCAAAAAAGTATTACTGGCAGGCTGAAGCACACAGACAGAAGCAAATACCTTTATGTGTATCATGATCTGCACAAACACCCCCTTTGCAGCCTGTGAGCCCACCTGGCAATTCTGAAAATCCAACAGCTGCATGGTACCACTGCTATTTGTACCAGACTGGGGATCAAGGAATACCATTTAAATAGAAATTCTGCCCCATACAGTGACTGTGCTACTCCATAGATCTGTTCTCTGCCAAATGCAACTGGTCCAAGTTTGCCATCCTGTGTCCCATCTGCCTTTCCAGTGACCCCGTACCAGCAACCTCACGCAGGTAAATCCCCGAGGAGTTTATTCCAGGAAGGGCCTCAAACGCTGCATGTGGAGAGGGCAGATGGGACTTGCATCGAGCCACAGCTTGATCATCCTGAGAAAATGCCACTCCTTAGCCAGCCCCTTTCCTTTAACACACCTACAAGGGGCTCCAGCCCCTAAAGCAAAGGGATAGCTCAGCCTCACATGGGACTTCAGATGGCTGAAAGAAAAAAAGTCTTTAAAGGCCGTGAAAAAAATCAAATGCTGCATGAATGACTTCCAAGAGCCACTGGCACAGCCTTTGTTAGTGCTGAATGCAGTGATGATGATTTGAAAAAGCCAAACAATGTTTAGAATCTGACTGAAGGGTTAAAGTTAGGAGAAGTTCCTTACACTAACCCAGTCTAGTTCAAAGAGATTGTCTATATCGAATCCATGTTGCTATTTTTATTTCTACAGTGGAACTGCACTACTAAACATACTGACTTGAGCTGGCCACAAAGCAAATGTGCTAGCAAAAATGATCCAGAAATAATTTTAGCAGCGTAAAATGCCTATGCTGCTCTGGCATGTTCCATCAAGAAACAGTTCACAAGATTTTGCCTTGAAGGTTACACTTATAACTCACAAGAAACCAGCACTTGGAATGAACCATCCGTATTTTTAATATAGGGGACTGAGGTATGGAAAAAGAATAATGTCCGTCCTCTCCTAGGAAACAGTGCAAAAGACTATCCAAAGTAAATAAATCATTTGTGAACTATTATACATTGGGTTTTTATTTTCAGTTAAAAGTTTCTCTCCTGATCCTTTTAGGACTAGAATATCATTATTAGTCTAATTGAAGATTGTGTGCCTTTATTTCCTCCTTCCCCCTTGGAGCAAGGCCACACCAATCAGCGTGTGCTCATCCTGCCAATCAGTCTCTCGGAGAGGCTGGATGCTGGATGCTCCCAGCTCCAGCAATCACCTGCATTGCTCAGGAGAATTAGCACAACGTAGGTCTAATTAGAAACTAAACACTGCGTTATCTGCAATGATTTGGAGATGGAGTAAGCTGATGTATGTTTAGGAACCTTTCTTGCTGCACAGTAGTTCATGATAACACCCACCTCACAGCTCATTAGCAAATCAAAATATTATACTGTATAAATAATACTTTGCTCTTTTCCATTTTACAGAAGCCCCAGGTCTCAGAAGCCTCCATTACCAAGCACATGTGACTTAGTTCTATTGGAACACTGTAGGAAATGGAAAGCAGCCCTAGCTGTCCAAAACCAGCAAAAAGGAAGCCAGTATACTGTATACTTTGGTCTGCTCTCTACAGAGGTAGCCCCAACCAGCCTCAAGACATTTTACTCTGAAATACATTTTGGCAGAACACAAAGAAACTCCGTGGTACATGGCACTGAACATGGACTGACAGTCCTCCTGCGCTGGACCGATCCCTTTCTCGCTCTTTTCAGCAGAAACCCTAAATCCAGTCCTGCAGCCTTCAACCAGAAACCCAAATGAGAGCAGGGGGAAACCTGGCAAAGAACTGAAGGGAGAGATGTAAATGTTTAACAGCAAGAGGAGGATGTGAGGGGATATGCAGCTGTTCCACTGCACAGCTTCTCAAGGGGGAATTGGGGAGCAGAGACGAAGACCACGTGCTCACTTCCAGCTGAGATAAACATTTACAAGTCACTCTTTTCAAACAGGAAGGCACAACCTTGGGACACGACCTCACGCTCGCTGAGCCCCCAGCCCCAGTGCTCTGCCGTCAGACAGGCAGGAGGGATGCACACTGTGCCACTGCTCTGTTATT